GCGAAAATTTCATTTTAAGGCAGACGTCCTTGAAAGATACCTCTCTAAGACCTATTTGTGACGAGGAATTCGAAAAAAAATGTTTGAAAAAGTTTGTACGCATGTGGAAAATACTAGAGTAGGTTTTGTCGTAAACCCGCATTTTTGAGTTTTTCGAGTCCTCTTCAGTATTTTACGATTTTCTCCCTCAAAACTCAACTTTTTCGAGCTAAAAAGGTGATATTCGTGATCAGCTCGATTTGGCGAATCAGAATATGTATAATAAAGCCAAAAATTAAAACCTGTTCGATCTTTGAATTAGCGGCGCCTTACCTCTTTATCAGTTAAAATGTGAATCTATCATATTCTCCACACGTTACCACTACAAAAAAGTCGCTACTTTTCCTCCACTTGTGTTATATGGAATACCTATTTTACGTAAAAAAAGAGGTTAGGTATTTAGGACTACTATTGTCCTTTTTTTTTTTTGACATACAAGTATTTATTGTTCCTTTTAAAAAGGTTAACAATTGAAAGATCTTACATTATTGAACAGTAAAAGGGAAAAAAAGAACAAAAAGAAAGTACAAAAATTTTAATATTCAGTTTTTTTTTTTAGCTAGAGAGTTTCACATACAGATATAAAAAAAATTGATTTAGTTCAGAGGAAAAAAAATACATTCAGGGGTATGACCTTCTTTTCACAGACAGCACATTTTTCCAACCTCGTATCTTAGTCTTAAGAAAAAAATATATCCATCTCCATCACAAAAAAACAAAACTGGAGTCAAGTCTCAGTTGACGAAAAAAAATTGAGAGAAAGGGAGAAGAAACACGAAAAGCACATTCCAAAAACAGTCCAAACAACACTTTTTCATTTACAATGAGCATTTAATTATGCTGACATTTACGGCGGCTCATGAGAGAAATATTTCGTCATAAACTGTTCTATATAGAGCGGAGATTTCTTAAAAAGACCATACTGATCTCTTTGTACAGCCGAAAAGGGGTAAACATCCAAATAAGTATGCTGCGCTCTCAATGCCAGTCTATCTGGGAAATAGCTAGATTTTGTATTTTTCTGAAATCCCATACTTTTATAATACGTTTTCGAGTGGGACGTAGCAATACAAAAAGCATTCCACGTTTGTCTAAACGCTTCAGCTTCTGGGGCCGTCTCAAGATGTTTTTGGAGACGGAGCCAGTATTTTAGAAGAAAATCGTTGAGTGTGAAATCGCGGGCTAGAGTTGCAGTCGCAATGTCATCATATCCCCAGAAGGAGTTCACCAACCTAACGCCCGTCCAGTAGACATGCTCGATTTTTTGCTTTTGTTTTTCGGTGAAATAAAACCAAGTGAAAAATAGCCACGTAAAGTGGGGCAGTCCAAAGTCGCAAAAAAGTCTTCTACGGATTTTAACTTCTTTTTTTGGGATCGTATAAAAAATTTTACGTAGACCTGCATAAGCAGATCTGACTTTTTTAATTCTAGCGTCTATATGTTTACCCCCGGCCAAGTTTTGTACCTACTTCCACCCCTAGACACTTAGACGATTTTACGTATTCAATTTTTTGCCCTTTATATTCGATATTTGGTTTTTTGACAGAAACAGTACTATGAATTAGCATAGCTTTCGTTTTATTAACATTTACGTGCAAAATGTGATCTTCTGCAAACTTTTCAAGCGCTTTTAAAACGATTTTTGCTTGCTTTTCTAAATAAAAAATATTACTAGGAAGTTTCAGTTCCAACGCACCCTTCAGAATCATTGTGAGGTCATCCGCAAACAGATGTGCAAGAATTTGAGGAAAGTAACTGGGTAAAAAATGTACGTGAAGACGAAACAAAAGCGCTGCTAAAACACTACCTTGAGGCGCACCTAACAAAATTTCAAAAAATCTCGATTTCGCTTCTCCGAAACTGACAAACATTTTCCGATTTTGAAACCAATTGAAAATCCATTTTCTGAGACTAAGCGGCATGTCTAATTTCTCTAACGTGCGCATAAACGCTGCATACCAAAGACGGTCAAATGCAGTCGCAAAGTCGACAAAAATGCTCAAGGCTGGTCTATTACAAGCAGCAACAGTCAGCCTCAAATCTTCAACTATGCCTAAAATCCTCGTTTGAAGTCTCTTTTTAGCGGTGAAACCGGGTTGCTCTTCGCAATGAATTCCTTGATCAGAACATCATTTTTCGATCCTAGAGGCTAATACTCTTTCTAATACCTTTCCCAAGTTGGGAAGCAACGAAATTGAACGAAGACGATCAGTCGTCGGGTATGCCCCATCTTTGGATAGAAAAATGCCTTTTGCAATTTTGCCTGAACTGAAAAAATCTCCTTTTTCTACACAGTTGTTAAAAAGCACAGTAATTGTGCATAAGTATTGGGAGGGAAGCTGTTTTAAAAGAAAAGCCGAGTTTTCTACACTATCAAGAGACTTCTTGGAGGCAAATTTTTTCCATTGAATTTCTACTTCCTCAAATTTTATTCGTTCTAAAGGTAAATTTGGCGTAGATTTTATTCGCTCATAGGCATCTAAACATTCTCTATGAAAAGGATTATTTTGGTCAGGTTTGGGCGCAGAAAAATGTTTTTCGTAATAATCTGCTAGTTCATCCGCAATTTCCTGCTGATTCTTTACAATTCCTTTTTGTGTCTTCAAACCTTTAAAAGCTGGAGCATACGGCCGAAAAACATGTTTTACATGAGACCAAATATTATAACCTCGCCGCATATGTTCCATTTTTTTGTCTCGTTTTTCTTGCTCAAACTTAAACTTTTCTTCAAAGTAATTTTTTTGGCGCAATTTAAACTCCTCATAATGACCAAAAAAACGCGTCTTGCGAAACTTTCTTTTTGATTTATTTACTGACTGAGCTAACTTAACTAAATAAAGAGGCCACGGTGGCCGAAAAACTGACAAATTTTCGTACTCGCTGCAACGGTCGAAAAGAGCAGCTAAAAATTCTGAAAAATTGTCAAAAAACTGATTGTAGTTTAGCTCGTAAACTTTTACATTCCAGTATGGATGCACGGCCCCTGAAAAATAAGTAAATAAATTCCAATTTGTTTTACGAAAAAGACCGTTATCGCCAGCACTAAAAGGTGAAAAAAACAAAACTGGATAGTGATCAGAATTTCCGTCCACTAACCTCTCAACGTTCCAATTTTCTTTACTCTTTCCAACGCAGAAATCTATGATTGCAGTAGACCTTTTGGAAGTGGGAATTCTTGGATTAATACACGCAAAACCTTTTTCTTCGACCCACTCGTTTAACTTGGTCCCACTAGTGTTGTTTTTTACACACTGCCAGTTTATATGTTTGGCGTTAAAATCGCCGAAAATGTAAAGATTTTTATCTGCATGTTTATTGAACAGATCTACAGGCGGCAAACTACCAGGGGGGACATAAACACCCGCAACATACAATTTTTCGCCCAAAATTTCCAACTCAAGCAAAAGAAAATTTTCTGCATGATCAAAAATTTTGCATTTTATTTTTTGATGTACTAAGATTGGTACACCACCGAATCGGTTCGTTCCTCTTTGGCTAAACCAAGTGTAGCTAGGTACTGAGGGCAGCATACTTATTTGTTTACCCACCTCGCACAGAATAAGAAGATGAGGAGTATGAACTGAGAGAAGAGAATCAAGGTCTGTCAAGTGTTTACTTAAACCTTGACAGTTCCATAACAAAACAGATAAATTATCAGAAGAGACAGCCGGCCTTATTTTTTTCCACTGAGAACAAAGATCTTTTGTATTGTCAACAACGTTCCATTCAGAAAATAGAGAAAAAAGAGTCTCAGTCTCACTCACGGTACCATTGAAATTGCATATTAAATCTTCATTTAAATAAAAATTGTTGTTGCTACACATTATTAGAGCTGAATAAAGTTAGAAGAGCATTTTTCTTGGAAGCATTGTACTCAGACTGAAAGGATTCCATTTCTTTCAGTTGTTCGTTGTAACGGACATGTGTTCCTTTCAGCTGATTTCGATGAGTTTGAATTAAGTGAAGCCAGCCATCAAACACCTCAGTACCGGATTGTTTTTTCAATTCATTTACTGTTCCGGCTAAAGCTTCTGCCATTTCGATGATTGAAGTGAATGCTTCTCTTGTTGCGGTGGTTGTTTTTGAAATAATTCTCTGTTGCATTTCTTGAGTTTGATCTGTTAATAACCACGCTTTACTCAAGGACTCAATGTGTAGCTTATATTTTATTTCAATTCTCATTTTTTCAGCTTCGTATCTTTCTTGTGCTAATCGATTTTCTGTTTCATGACGCTTTTCCATTTCATCTAATCGCTGTGTGAAGGACTTAATTAGCTCATCAGCCTGAGAAATGGAAGAAGACGGCCCTGTAGTTGTAGAATTCCAACCGGGCCATGCACGTGAATCTGAATCTGTTTTGTTAAATTGTTGCTGTTGTTGACGAAGCGGTCTTTCATTTCGTGCATTTTTATTAACGATTGTTTTCTGACGGTCGTTTTTTTCTCTGAATTCTGTTGGAATGAAAAGTTGAACCTGAGGTGGAAGTTTTTCCGGATGTTCCCTCAGCTTTTGAATCAATTGATAGCGAAAGTCCGAAATATACTGACATTTGTAGCTAGTTGATTCGTGGTCACCACCGCAGTGGTGACATTTTATCTGACAGTCTCGATGATCTTGTAGATGAGTTCGAACCCCACCACAGCGTCTACAAATGTCGAATTTTGATTGTTGACAAAATTTTTTGATGTGTCCTCCTTGATTACATCTTCCACAAAGTAAAATTTTTGGTGCAGCCAAAAATTCATCCACGTTGTAACTTGCCCCTAACAGACTGAGTCTTCCTGAATTTAACAAAGCCTCATACTCACCACCATTTAGAATTTCAATTTTTATGTGGCGTGCTTTTCCAGTGTCCGTTCCTAACATTGGTTCAATTTTGTAAAGACTTTTATATTTGGATTTTAACTCGTCTGCCACGTCGTCAACTTGAACTTCGTTACTAACGAATTTTATTATTGCT